TAAAGTGTATATATATAAAATAAAATAAAAATTCAAATATTCTCAATCAAATTTCTTTTTGAAGGGTCAGAATTCACAGCTCAATGGTCGTAGTACAGACTAGACCGCTTGCTACTTTCACCTTCAGGACTTCGCGACTCTACTACTGACCAACTGCAGCGATGAGGTGGTCCCATAACGGACTACGAACCACCTATTTTCTTCCTATTAAAAACACCCAAACGCTACCCCTAATGGGTACCTACGTCCGATGGCAAGGAGGGGGTTTATGACCCTCTGCAGGGGGTGATATTCCTCCGACCGATGAGGCCGCGGGTCGCCCTCTTTTTGGGGTCTTACCGCACTGCGTCAATTCAGAGCTAGCGCACCGACAGTATACGCGGGGTTGGCTTACTTAGGTTGTGGGTCACCGAGTTCGAAATACAAACCGTCGGCCTTCCCGTGAGATGACAGGAAAAGGAAGGCCACGTCTGCGAACCAGTGAAGTAATAATAATAATAATAATAATAAGAAGAAGAAGAAGAAGAAGAAGAAGAAGAATGAGAATAATAAGAATAATAAGAATAATAAGAATAATAATAATTGTAGAAGGAAAAAGGATAGCGCTTCGAATTTCCTCCAGGCCGCAGCTCAACCCGGATAGTGGTAGAAATCCACGTACAGGTCTAAAACCCGATTGTATCTGCCGCTTATCATAGCTACATGGGTTCCACCACACGGAGCATAAATACGCTGACCCCGTACATGGGATATACAAAGGGCCGCAATACCACTGTCAAATCTCGAAGCCGGAATCGTTGGCCTCCCAACGAAGCGACGAGAACCGAAAGAAAACTCGTGTCTGAGAATAAGAATAAAAATAATAATAATAATGGAATAACAAAATTTGGGCACAAAGACAAATCATAACACAGCGACGATCAGATGCCGCTAGATCGGCTCTGACTAAAATAATGGTCTAGATCAGTGCGCCATTCTGATACCCGATTTTCTTTTCCCCTTCTCTTTTCCTCTTTTCTCTTTTATTTCTTGCTTTCCCTTTTCTTTCTCCCTCCTTTGCCCCTCCTATTCGACCGTCACAACTAGCCTACGTATCTAACCCATAACTCGACCAGGGCATGTTCGGCGCGCAGTAGAAAAGACAGCGCCGGTCTTTTCAACTCCGCGTCCCAGGGCGAGCCCGACGGCTACCACGACCACAGGCCGGTTGTGCTTTGCTGTACAGCAGGCGCCGAGCCTTCGTGGACCAATGGAAGAGCTGTGGCGCACCCCTTTTGTCGAGGACGAGCGCTAAAACAAGGTTGGTCCAAGCCAAGGCACCACTCGGATATATCAGTATAGTAACAGGTTCGATAATAGTTTAACAAGCCACAGCAACAGAGCGAGTGACTAGCATCACGTTGGGACTTGGTGCACAGAGGAGGGCCGGGATAGCGCGCCCTCCGACAGCGGCCGCTGGCCTAGGCCGGGACCCCCCCGGCCATGGCCGCTCCGACCGAGAACTTTCGGGCGCGGCCGTGGCCTATCGGGGAGGGGGTTTTGGGAGAGGGGAGTGGGTTTCGAGTCGGGGGGGGCTCCCCTACCCCCTCGCAAAAAAAAAAA